GGAAGGTTACTTTTCTCCGTTGGAATTGATACTTTCTGTTAACTAGGTCGCCTAATAAGTTTTTAGTTATTACAATTATCGTTCTTTTATTTCAAAATACTAATTACAATTATTGAACAAAAGTACTATTTATATATATGTTGTAGTACATTCCAAGTATGATGTCGTGACTACGAAGGGCAAGTGTTAAGCACAATATACAAGTGTGCATGAGGTGATTTTCATCGTAGATGCCAGTGGTGAAGCCACATAGGAGCAAGCAAGGAGGTGCGGTCGCAACTCCGATCGTTGGAAACTTGATCCTAAAAGCAAGAATATGACCTTCTAATTCCTTTCAATTTGTACGCAATGGATTTGTAATCATGTCATTAAAATGATTAGCTTGATGTTTTAGGATTTGGTGGTCTACATTTTGTGGGACTTTGACCCTTTTAAATTCCCGGACCACCCCCCCCCCCCCCAACCCCCTATCCCCCTGCGGCACAATTTCTGGCTTTGTTACTAGTAGATGCCTTGTGAAATTTTTAGAGTTATTATATACATGTATAATATGGGAAAGTTATATTACTAGAGTAGTGTTGAGGTCGGTCACATACTAGCGCATGTTGATGTTAATACATAGAAATTAACTCATAAAAGTAAGTGGTTGATCGTAACATTTCTTTTTGCCATTAAGTTGATGATATGTTTTTACACCAATCTTTTAAGTTTTGAGAATTTCAAATATACACATAGAAAACCTCTTCACTTAGTATATATTTTGGTGAAGCTTATAGCCTACATATTTGACTTATCAATAACACAGATTAGTACTAGCTAATATGTTAACTTATCAAAGGGAATATGATAAGTACATGGTTACCCCTAATATGATTGAGGAATGTGATATCATCGACGCCCTAGTCATTATCAATATCAGCCAACATAATTAAATTGAACGAAACCAATGTCCTTCTGGCTTTTATTTCTGCACTTGCTTGTTCTAATATAATAATCCCATTAAAATAATTTTAAAATCATGGTTATCGTTAGTTCAATAGCTAACTTGGTTCGAGGAATCCCCGATTAATCACAGATCTTATTCTTGAGATACATCTTGTAATTTTTTGTTGGGGGATGCTCATTCTCTTTCAACTAGGTTGAAATTTCAAATAAAGTTTATAAATGCACTATATCCTCTTATATATATACTTTTTTTTATATCAATATTAATCACATAGGTTTGTTCATTCAAGATTTAAATCTCAGTTGGTACACAAACTTCATTTGATCATTTATGCTTGTGTTATTATCACTAACAATATAATTTGAGGGAACCACAAGGTATCATTTGTATATTAACCACAGTTTACCACCCCTTTGTTAACATCGAGTGCCCCTTTTCAGTGTGAGGATGTGAAGAATTATCTACGTCGGAAAGTTCGAAAACTTTGCAAGCTCTTATAAAGAGTTGAGCCACATTTCTATTACTGATTAGTTTTTAGGTCGAAATTTAACTTTTTTCTCAACATCAAAGTATGTTCACTCATATGTCAGGCTTGAAATATTATCACACATAAAAAAAGTGTGTGGAAATGTGAAGAATAATCCCATTTTCAAAAGTTATGAAATCTTGCAAAAGTTTTGATTTTGGAGTCCAACCTCAAATTTCTTCGCAAAACCATTTTCCACCGCCAAAACAGCCTATAGAGTATAGATATAGAGAGATGCATCGTCGTCTTAGATACAGCTTACAATTACATGCATGCTGTCCAAAAACATAAGACTTGTCAAAGTCGTCAGGTGTCCAAAAATTCATCATTGTCTTATTTCTTTCCCCACTAATTTTGGTAGGTAATTTTCCAACTTGTAAACAAGTCTTAGTTTATAGGCAACTCAACTCAAAGGCACGTTCCATCTTTTTCTAGTACGAAAAAATGGCTTTATTCATAATTCATAACATCACTAAGTAATGCATGCCGTGCTTAAATTGTGCAGTGAATTAATTGAAATAATGCATGGGATACATTTGCAGATGTTGCGATAGAAAGATACAAATGCATATGAACAACAATATCCAGTCTTCACCACCAATAATTTGCAGGTATATCATATAGTTATCTTCCCAATGTAATCATAGGCCCAACTCAACCAGCAAAATACTCGGCATATCATTGTTACGGTAACCAAGTCAATCACACATTATCATGTGTTTTATTTTTCTATATATATAATAGTATTTTAAGGATTTGGAATTTCACTACAATGGCATCTCAAGTGTAAGTAAACTTTAGGCACTACAATAGAGTTGGTCTTTTACGACGCACAAAGGCATCGTAAACAATTATTTACAGTGTGGGAGCCCTGAAGCAGTAAAAGCCTCTGTCGTAAAAAAATGTTTTGTCAAATACGACGTACACTATTAGTCGTTAACAATTTTAGTAAAACACGATGTAAATGCTCTTCAAGGTGTGCCTTGCATGCCTTAATTAGTATTAGATACGGCGTTAATGGAGTGTTGTAATACTGCAAAAACAATTATGGCTGCCATAATACATATTTGATATTGCATTTGTTGAGTAGTGTCGTAATAAAGTGAACAAAAAGTAAATTAAAATTGGACGCAATGCAATTAGCGAATTTTTTCAATGGGATTACCAGCAACTTTCTCACTTTTACTCATACCACATGTATTTTCACTTGCACAAAAAATTATAAATGCAATTACTTTTTTGTTTGGAAACTATTCTTGGCAATCCAAAATTTTAATTATGCATTTCTCATAAAAGTATTTTTTTTTTCCTTCTAAATATAAAAAATTTTGAGTGCACAATTAGATTTTTGGAGACAATAACAATTCTATTTAGGTTGACAAACTAAAATTTTAATTACACTAACAAAGAAGAAGAATATTGGAATTTTAATATAACTAAAACTTTAATTTTTTTTTCTTTTTTGAGTACAACAATATATTTTGAGGTGTGATATCCACACACCCCATTTTACTTCTCACACACATTTTTAATTTTCGGTCGTCGGATCAGATGAATTGAAGAAGATCAACGGACATAAATTATCAAGGGGTGTGTGAGAAGTAACATGGGGTGTGTAGATAGCACACCCCTATATTTTACACTAATGGGGAGAGGGAGGTTGGCTAAGCCATACAATAGGCAACCTAATTTGGTATCGAATTCGACATCTACGAGATTCGAACCTAAGGCCTCTCACTTTAATTTTGAGTGCTAGTGGAGTAAACATGACAAGAAGAGAAGAGAGAAGGAAAGTGAGGAAAGTTCTTAGCATTTCTCTTTCTTTATATGACTAATATGTGAAAATTTTGCGATGCAATTACCTCTATAAATGATCACCGCTTGATAGAAATAATTGGCTTGCTATTTACTATACTAAAGGGATTTTAAAGGAAAAAATGAATAACAAATTCCTTATTTTGTCAAAGTTGAAGGTTACATATAAAGAATAGTTGTCTCTTTTAATCCAACCATTTGTATAAGGATTAGTAGGGATATCTTTTATTTATGAGTAACTTTTAACATGGACAAAATAAGAAATTTGTCACTCATTTCTTCCTTAAAATGACTTCAATATAATGAATAGTCATTCACAAGCTAATCCTCTCTATCAAATGAGGCCTTTGGGTTTTAGGAGGTGTGGAAAAGGGTGCACTTTTTTTTTTACTGACATTAAAAGCTAGGGTGCATTTTTTATTTAGAGTTTATGTGGTTGTGAACATTACACTGTAGTTGAATAAGTGCGACTTAATTTATATATGTTTGTTTGAGTCTGAATAGAGAATTAAATAGTAATAATAGTTAATGTGTTGGTAATGTTCACTAATACAACTTAAAAATGGTGAGCAAAAATGCTCTCGAAAAGATACAGTAAACCTTTTTTATTAGTTCGGACAAAGGTTCTCTTCTAGAATACAACCAACAACTAGCAATCCATGCATAAAATGAAAGTAGTACTTCAGGTGGGGTTTTTTAATGCATGTCTGAAAACTAAAGAATCTGATCAAGCAAGAGAGCCGCCCTATAGCTTGTTCGTTTGCAAGTCCAGTACGTTCCCTTTACTCTTCTTTATAAACGAACTAATTAAGGCCCCACCTTCCATTGATCTCTAAACAGATCCGGAAGAAAAGCCAATCTTCAGCCGCCGGCCCTAGGCCTTTGGCTTTGGGGTCCGGTGGCAGCCCCTTGTTTTCGCTTGCTTTAGTATATCATTTCTTCTCTATTTCCTTCTCTATGTTCTCTTCTGAGCTTTGCCTCAGATTTCTTCCTACTTCTCACTCAGAAGCTGCTCACTGCCTGCCCCTTTTCCCCTCACCTTCACACCCATTTTTCTGTCCTTCCTCTTGCTCCCACTCTTATTTTCCAACTCAGAATCATGATTTAGATCTTGGAGTATTGGACTCTATTTTGACAGAATACCCAATCCTCCCAGCCCACTGCCGAACCGGCTTGCTGGAAAATTTGGACAATGTGTGGAACGATTCACATAAGAACAAGGGTGTTTTACACACCCCCTTTGCCCCTCCCCCTCCTCCTGTTACGTTATGTGACCTTCCTTGCAGGTGTGGATGTGGAGACTTTGTTAATGTGTGGATGGATTTTGCGCAATACTTTCATATCTAATTTATGGTTCAGAGGTACTCTTTTTCTTTTGGGGCGACTGCTTTTTTCGCGGTGGAAGCGGCAGTGGCAACGGCAGTCATTTGGATGCTGAAGATTAGGGTTTTTGTTGTTTTTTTGTTATTGCTGCCTATGGGTCTACAAATGTACGGGCCTCCCTGTGTGTTTTGGGTTATAGCTCTACTTTGCTTGGGTCTGTTTTATCTTTTATGTCTTACTTTGTTTTATGTAAGGCTTTGTGTTTTGTTTAGACCTAGGCTCATCTTTTACAAATTGTCCCTTACATTAATGGAGTGCTATTTCGACCAAAAAAAAAAAAATTACCTTCCATTCGTATTTAGACTTGATCGTTTGCTCACCAAGTAAAGATAGAAAATAAGACATAATTAATAATTTGATTGTCGGTAGTTTTTACATATAAGCAACTTTGCTGTCCAATTATCCTACATCAGGCATCACATAAAGATTGGCTGCAAGACGGAAGCCTACAAGACAATGGTGAATCTATGACTTTAAGGGCATCGACTCCTGTATAAATACCATGTGCAATATCACTAAGTTGTGCAACTTCCTAAAACTTTACTTGCTCGGAATTAAGCTTAGCAGCTGAGAGAGACTGCACAATTTTTGGTGCCGTCTTTGTCTCCCCCTTCAAACTTAATACAGAAACATGGATACAAAAGTCCTCTCCCTCCGGAGTCACATACTCCCACTTGCCGGAAAGCTATGTCAGACCAGAATCCTACCGGCATCGCTTGTCCAAAGTCTCCGAGTACGAGAACATTCCCGTTATTGACCTGGCTTCTCCCAACAGAGCCCAAACTGTGCAGCAAATTGGTGATGCCTGCAAAAATTATGGGTTTTTTTAATGTAAAGAAAGAGAAGGTTCATAAGGCGGAGGTAAACTCTCCAGTTATGAGCCTTCTCTTTCTACACATTAAAACTTGTAGAAAGTCTCATAGTTTTTTAGGGGTCATCTGAGTACACAGCTTCAGCTTTTCCTCCACAGGAAGGTTGAAAAACTCATTGGCCACCCCTATCATTTTTTTTACACTCCTTCCGTTGACACCCCATGGTTAATAACCTAGCACCGAAATCACCCGAATATCAACAAATATGTACACACACATGTGTACATGTACGTGTAATGATGAGTTTGTGAAAAATGCAATTATTGAGTTTTGCAATATCTTATATCTTAACTAGAGTGAGATAGGGATCGATCCATATATATAAGTTGCTAATTAATGATATAGGGAGGAGGGTACCTTAAAAAAAAACCCTTATTTTTGCAGGCATCACCAATTTGCTGCACAGTTTGAGCTCTGTTGGGAGAAGCCAGTTCAACAACGGGAATGTTTTTGCATTCGGAGTCTTTGGACAAGCGAGGCCGGTCGAATTCTGGTCTGACATAGCTTTCCGGCAAGTGGGAGTATATGACTCCGTACTCCCGGAGGGAGATGATTTTTGTATCCATGTTTCTGTATTAAGTTTGAAGGGGAGAAAGACAGCAATAAAAATGTGCAGTCTCTCTCAAGCTGCTAAGCTTAATTTAGAGCAAGTGAAGTTTTAGGAAGTTGCACAACTTCGTGATATTGCACATGGTATTTATACAGGAGTTGATGCCCAAAGTCAAGAGATTTTTTAGTGTGACAGAAACACGGGATAGTATATCACGTGTTATTATACAAATGATAGGATATATCTGTTAAAAAGATAATAAGTTAACAAATAAACTTGCAGGCTTGGTCTCGCAGCCAATCTTTACATGACACGATATGGGATGATTGGACAGCAAAGTTGCTTATATGTGAAAACTACAGACCATCAAATTATTAAGGAGGCAGATTGTCTACCCTCCTGTTATGGTGCCCTTCTCATCTTCTTCTATTTGTGCGGTCACAGTTAAGCCACATCAATATTTTATATTCATATTGTTTTTTATCTTATTATTTCTATAAAAAGAAAAATCAATATAAAATGTTGACGTGGCTTAACTGTGATCGTACAAATAGGAAAGGATGGGAAGGGCATCATAACTGGAGGGTAGACAATCTACCTCCAATTATTAATTGTCTTATTTTCTATCTTTATTTGGCGAGCAAACGATCAAAGTCTTATTAGAAGAATCCGGATCCTCGTTGGATCTTCTTGGTGAGGATCTCAAGAATCCGTCAATTTTGTTTGTTCATCATATATCGTACGGTTATAAATTATTTTAAATATTTTTATTTAAAATTAAACACAAACAGTACTTAACAAAAACTGACCACACAATATACAATGAACGGATACGATTCACAAATCCTTAGAATGTTTACCAAAAGAATCGGGAGAGGATACTGTTGGTTATTAGAAAATACAAATGGAAGGTGGGGCCTTACTTAGGTCGTTTATAAAGAAGAGTAAAGGGAAAGTACTCGAACTGCAAATGAACGCCTCTCTTCCCTTATCGGATTCTTTTGTTTCTAGACATGCGTTAAAGGGCCTATGAGCCTATGAGCCTATGTGTTAGGCCTAATGATTTTTTTGTAATTTCAATTATTGTTCTTTTACTTCCATATACTAATTACAATTATTGAACAAAAGTGCTATTTACATATGTTGTTGAACATTCCAAATATGCACTTAGAAAACCACTTCACGTAGTATATATTTTGGTGATGCTTAAAGCCTATATATTTGACTTATCAATAGTACAAATTAGGACTAGTTAATATGTTAACTCATCGAAGGGATTTTTTTTTCTTTTAGAAAACCTTGACAGTACGAGGAAATTTTATTGATATCGAAAAAAAGATACACCTAATCAGGAGAACAGAAACCTAATCAATCATAATACAAGAAAAAAGAATAAAAAAATACATGAAAAGAAAGGGGACATAAACCTTTACCCTTTTAAAAATAAAAACAACAAAGATAAGGTCATCTCTAACCGAATGGTCTAGAAGGCCAGATGGTCGAAAATAGCCCAAAAACCGTCTCCAACCGAGGACCGGGCCAAAGGGTTGGTAGGCCTCACGGGACAAAAAAAAGACCAAAGGATCAACTGGCTAGCCCAACCCAGCCAACTAGCCAGTCCCGGGCTGGGCCACGGATTCAAATGCAATGGCTAGTTGCTAACGTCAGCTAGTCGTTATGTTTTTTTTTTCTTTAACAAAATTTTTTAAATTTTTTTTTAAATTCTATTTTTTTTTCCTATAACTTCCTAAGCCATTAAACAACATTAAATTTGATTAAGTAACATAAAACAACATTTGTAACAACTTGGCTCGAAATTGCTGGAACGAAAGGGCATTTTTCGTCTTTCCGCTTTGGGTTGTAAGATATTTTTGAAAGGGTTACTATTTGAGTCTTAAATGGTGTGCCAAGTGGGGCCCATTTCCCCCTTTCCCCCTCACACAACTTATGGACCTCTTTCTTCCTTGTCCCTCTCCCTCTCTCTCTCTCTCTCTCTCTCTCTCTCTCTCTCTCATAGTGGTATTATGTGTGTGTGTGTGAAGAATAGATAGGGCTTAGCTCATCCACCATTTTCTGGTTTTAGCATTTTACTCTCGTTCTCTCTTCCTTCTCACTACTAGAAATTTCGACTTTTTTGACAAATTAGTTTGTTGGCAAAAATCAAATTTTGTCTGCGAAGAGTCTTTCTCAACGAAGGTCATTTCAATTTTCCCGATGATTTTTGATATTTCCTCAACTCAGTTTTAAGACAACAAATCTCAACCGTCTAACTATCCCATCGTCACGATAACTTTGCGACAAAATAATTTGTTGGCAAAGTATTTGTCGGTTGCGACAAAAAAATTCATTAGCAAAGGGTGTTTCAAGCCTACAAAATGCATCTTTTAGCCAACAAGAGATGTCGTCGGCAAATATATTTCGTCGGCACAGTCTTGCACCAACGACAAAATTAATTTCATCGGCTGAGACTTTTAATCTATTAAAAAAAATAATAAATTGAAAAATACAAAAATTGTTCAAAGATAATGCTTCATTGATAGGTAATACAAAATGTATAAGTACAGTGGTTATACAAAAGTATTCTATTATACAATAAAACTATCCTATCCTACTCTCATTCCTCCCTCAACATCAACTTAGCGATATCCTACAAAAATAATACAAGTGGCAATTATTATATATGACAACATAAGAAAAAGCATCCTCAGCAAGCATGAAGAAAACACATTCAATAGAAGTCACTTTGAAAGCTTAACCAATTTGTCAACAATACACCATGAACGTTGCAATAGTAAACTGAACCGCTCTTGAGAACAGGATTACTTGTGCAACACAAAACACATAGTTACAGCTCTCCCAACATTGTACATGTTACCACATCTACATATGAGTTGAGTAACAACAACATATGCTGGATTATTCAAAAGATTTGCAAACAACATGGAGTTTAGAATGGTTTAGAGAGATCCTGGCAAATAGCTAACATTGTACACGTTACCTATCAATTTGAAGAAGGCATCACTTGCATAAACTATAGGCATGTCTGGTAAGTGCGGATCAGCTGGATCTCTTCCCACAAACTAATATGGCCGTTCACTCCAGACAAGATGTTATTAACCGCAGTTACAACTCTCGTTTTCTCTACATCACTTGCCTCGCACGATTCTTCGATGTCGGATCCTGCGTGTTACATAGTAAACTAAGACTCAACCACAACACAAATTTGGTCACAATAAAAAACCAGAAACCGCGATCAACATAGATAGAACACCAAAAGGAATGTAATTTAACATTAACATCACAACCAATCATAGATACCAGGAAACCACAATTGAAAAAGTAATATATTACAACATTACTTGGAACAAAAAATTAAGATGTGGCATTACACGAACCTCTACTATCAGCATCATCTAGTGCAGATTCCAAAACCTTCGCCCTGTTCCTCAATCCCTTCCACAAAACATTCGCCGCTCTGTGTTCGATTTAGTCCCAAATAACATGTAGGGATTAGGAAATGGATCAGCAATCAAAATTAACGACCCTAATTGTCGTATACACCAAGTCCTGCAACTTAAAAAGTTAAATTAAATTTTCCAACTTAAAACCCTAAATTAAATCCTACAAATTGAACTGGCAGACGTAGAATTAGAGAGGAGAAGGAAGATAATCACTTAAAAATATCACTGACCTTCGAGTTCTTGGCAGCTTTGATGAGTTTTTTTTTTCATCCACCCTTATAAACATAACACACAATAGGCTCGCAACCTAATACAAATTCAAGCCCACAAATTCCATTTCAATTTTGACAAAACAAATCGAAAAACAAAATTGAAAACCCCAAATGAATTACAGAGACAACTGATGGGTTTATGCATCAGAACTTCAATTGAAGAGGACAATTAGAAGGGAAAAAAAAAAAAACCCTTTTTGAGTGCTTTGAATTTGACAACGGTTTTGATCTCCAGCGGAATGAGGCAGTCGGTCTACCTGTGTATTTGCAGTGACGAGGGAAATGGAAAGGGACCAGGTTTGGCATTGAAGTGCTTTTGAAAAAAGTGGGTGTCAAGAAAAGCCGTGAGCTTTTTTATGTTTCGTAAACATTCAACTTCAGCTTTTTTCGCAGTTTTGAGTGAAAAAAAAAGTCAAAAACACAAAGCCGCAAAACCCAGCTTTGAAAAACCAACTTTTTTTGCTTGCCCAGCTTTTGTGCAAACCGATTTCGCAAGAGATGCTAAGGCCTTTAATGAAATTTTCCAATACACAAAATGCCCTTTAGCAACTAAATACATTATACATTATACCCGTCAACTTCGTTGCCAACCCCGCCACATCTCTCTTTGGTCCTCTCTTACTCTGAACTTCTTCGGATTTCTGGGATAGGAGCGGCGAGAGGTTGAGAGAGACAAAGAGAGAAAGATGAGAGACGGAGTGGGCGGCGGAAGAGGAAAGAAAATACAAGTTTTGCAAAATAGGAGAACCGAACCTTGGAGAAGAAAATAGAATAAAAACTTATGATTCCATAATAAAAGAAAAGATAAAGAGTAATAGTTGTATAGTAAATAGATATTATAAATGTTGGATTATATGTTGAACGTTGGATTATGATTTCTTGCTAAACCTTGGATTATGATTTTATGTTAAACGTTGGATTATATGTTTAAGATAAAGTTTATAAATATTTTTCTTTTAAAAATAAAGTATATTTAGTAATTCACCTTTATTTCTTAAGAAAATTAATTTAATGGCACATCTAGTATTAAACCCTTTTTTGTCATTTCACACATTCATAGCTGTTTTACATAAAAGTTTACCAAACACTACAATACTGCCTTTTTTTCCAAAAGCACTTTTACAAAAAAGTTTACCAAACACTCAGCTGCTTTATTTCACAACTGCTTATTCTCACAGCACAGCAGAAGCAGTTTTTTTTCAAAACACATCAGTACCAAACCCGCCCGGAGAGGGAGAGGGAGTGGGACGGAGAGAAACAATCGCTTCATGTTTGACTAAAGTGCTTAATTCTTTTCCTTTTTTATTCTAACTTTGAGCTTCTAATTTGAAACCGCGTTTTTATTTCGTGCCTCATTGTTGGTTAATAGTTTTTTCCCTCAGCCGAAGAAATACTTTTTGTTGCCCTGAAATC